GAGCACTTGAGGCTAGCTACCGCACCGCTGGCACTAAGGTCCAGCTCACTGCCTTCAATCTACTGCTTTGTGCTACCCTTTACTGCATCGCCACGCTCCTCTCGGACCGCCTAGCCACTACCCGCGACCACTTCCTTAGTTAGCACCCAGGTGACCTCACCCTTACCACCTTTTGTCACCGCCCTGTCTGAGATAGAGTCCCGCCAGCGCACTTTCGCTCAGTCTAGCGTTACTGCAGCGGTCCCTATCTTTTTAGGGCGGTGCTCCCTCCCAGTGTACTTACTCTGACATCTTTACTGCTTTTATTTAGACAACCCCTGCTGTTCAGACTGCTGTTGCGGCCTCAGCGTGGCCGCGTCAGGGTAGGGGTCGTCGCCCCAAGAGGGGGCGTGGCGGGGGGAAGGGTGGTGGGGTTGGTGGGGGTGTGGGCGGGGACGGTGGTTCCGATGAGGGGATCGGGTCTGGTGCCCTGGAGCAGCAGCAGTCACAGCAGCCGCAGCAGCAGCAACAGCATTGGGGCCGCCTCCCGCCGGGGTGGCCCGGTGTCTCTGATGGTGCCGCGGTGGCGGCCCTCGCAGCCCGGCGTCTGGTGGCAGCTTCGGCACTATGGTTTGCCAGTACCAACTCCACACTTGGTCATACCAGTCATACTGCCGCCCGCTGCTTCCGCCGCCTCGACAATCTCTTCCGTCTCCGCTTCAACCCCTGCTCCGTACCTTTCCGACTGGCCCTATCTGGTGTGTCGACGTGTGCCTGTGTATGAGATGGATATGAATTAGCTTTGCTCTGCCTTGCATGCCATGTATGCTGATGACTCTAGTGTGACCGGACCTTATTACCATGTGTTGCCTAGTGTAGGTGTGCCTCATGTGTGCAGTCTAGACTCCCATGCTGCGTCAAGCATAGGACCTTCTGCCTTGTTTAGCCTAGGCTCCATGCTAGCCCCTTCGTCGGCTGCTGCTACCGCTTCGCTCTCGTTCACGCTTGACTCTGGTGCATCTGCCTGCTTCTTGCGAGAGCACAGTACGCTCACGCCGATTGCCGCCCCTGTCGTTGTCGCGCTTACTGACCCCTCCTCTGGTCTGGTAGTTGCACGTAGCTCCACTACCCTTCCTTGTCCGTCGGTTCCCTCGGGCTCCCTTACACGCCTCCACATCCCCTTGTTCTCCAAGAACCTAGTAGGTGTCGGCTATGTTCAGGACCTTGGCATCACCACTACGCTTCCTAGTCACGAGCGCTACACAGTCTGTACCGAGGCCGCCACAAGTGCCCCCCTCACCACATTCGCCCAGGACCCGGTGTCTGGCCTGTTTACGCTCGACACCGAGTCCCCCCTTGGTGAGGGCGTCCCCCCAGGTGCCTACGTCTACCCAAGTTGCTGCGGCTTGCTCGTGTCGGTCGCTCACTCACCCGTCGCTTCTATCGCACCACCGCTTAGGTCACCCCCCACTCCCGCGTTTGCGTCATATGTCTTAGCACGGGATTGCCCTAGGTCTCCCGTCGTTGCTCCCTGCCCTTCCTCCCTCACCTGTGCCGCCGTGCACGCCCTGCGTTGAGGGTTGGCTGCGCCATGCTCCTCACTCCTCCTCGCTTCGCCCTGCCACCGCGCCACTCCAGACCCTGCACCTGGACGTCTGGGGCCCTGCCTCTGTCCCTGGGCTGCGTCGAGAGCGTTACTTTCTAGTGCTTATCGACGACTACACACGCTACACCATGGTGTTTCCCCTGGAACGGAAGGCCGACGTGCCTGGCATTCTTATCCCGTGGATTATAGTTCCGTGTGTCCACCGCGGTCTCCCTGTGATGTGACTCCACTTCGACCATGGTAGCAAGTTTGCCTACGATCGGCTTGGACAGTTCTGTCGTGCGGAGGGCATCACCATGTCATACACCGTGCCGGACTCCCCGCAACAGAATGGAGTCACTGAGCAACGCATTGGTTTGGTCATGGAGGTGGCTCCTACCTCCATGATCCATGCCGATGCCCCCCATTTTCTGTGGCTGTTCGCTATTCGCTACGCGGCTTACCAGCTTAATCTGTGGCCGCACTATTAGCAGCCGCAGGTTTCGCCGACCCTTCTCTGGACCGGGTTACCTGGTGACGCATCCGTGTTCCACGTCTGGGGTTGCCTTGCTCACGTTCGTGCCTCTGGCATAGACAAGCTCACTGCTCGCAGTGTCCCCTGTATCTTCTTTGGTTTCCCCCTTGACTCGTCTGACTGGCACTTTTACCGCCCGTCGTCTCACCGCTTTTTCCACTCGCGTGACGTCACTTTTGACGAGTCTATCTCCTTCTACCACCACTTTCCCCACCGAGCTCTCCTGGTTTCCCCGCCCCTGTTTCTAGTTCCCACTCCCTCGGTAGCCCCTTCTCCCCTCCCTCACCGTACTGCTTCGTCTGGTGTGTCTCACGTTACTCCCCTCCCGTCGGTTGTCCCGGTCAAGGAGTTGGCTGACTCTGGTGGGCCCGTAGTACATTTTTCACCCCCCAGTTTCTCCCCCGGTGTCTCCTCCTCCGCCGTCGCAGCAGCCGCCGCCGTCACCGTTGCAGCAGCAGTGGCAGCCATCGTCGCAGCCGCCGCCGCCGCCGCCGCAGCAGCAGCAGCCGTCCGTGGGCTCTGGGGGTGCGGGTGTAGAGGAGCGTGCTAGTCCAGGAGTTCCTGTCGTGGCTCGTCCCGGCGGTCCTGGAGGTGGCACCGGTGTTGGAGAGGGTTCTCATTCTGAGGGTGCTGGTTGTGGGGTTGCTAGTCCTGGGGTTACTGTCGTGGCTTGTCCCGGCGGTCTTGGGGATGGCACCAGTGCTGGAGTGGGTTCTTGTTCTGGGGGTGCTGGAGTGGAGCGTTCCGGAGATAGCCGTTGTGCGGCTGGAGGTTCTGGTGTTGGCATGGAGTAGCAGCAGCAGCAGTCGCCGCCGGTGTTCGCCCTTCGCCTGCTCGGCCATCCCTCCCCTGACCACACAATTGCACCGTCTGCCCTGAAGCATGTCTCACGCATCGGCCATTTCCCCTGCTGGCCCCTACAAACCCATACGAGCCATTGGACAAGGTCTACACTAATTATCTGTTTATAACACAAGTGGGCCTAACGGCGAGCAATACATGCTCACTTTCATCGACGGCAATACTCATTATATCTGGGCAATCAATGTGTAGCACCGCAGATGAGTGCACGAGGTTTTCCATTTATGGCTAAGCCATACTGAACCACAACCAGGGAGGCGGTCGAAATGCTAGCAGACCAACAAAGCTCGGGATTTTTGCATCAAGGAACTCCAAACCTACCTCCAAAAGGAAGGAATCGAACACCGCTTGTCCCTGCCCTACACTCACGAGCAACAGTGAGTCGCCGGACGCACCAACCGAACCCTGATGATCAGAGTGCCGGCAATGATGCAGCAGTCTAACCTGTCCGTGAACTACTGGTCTTACACCATGCACCACGCAGTGCACGCGCACAATCTCCTCTCAACTACGGCAAACAGCGGCAACAAATCGCGTCACCATAAGTGGATCGGCAACCCATGTGACATCTCAATGCTACGCATATAGAGATGCATGGTGCAATACCGCCCTCACACCGCCACTACTAGCAAGTTCGAAAGCCGTGCGCACTGGAGGGTCCACCTCGGAATCTCCCAAGAGGACATAGCCTGAAATATCATGGTCTTCTAAATGTCCAAGATTATTCCATGTCGTGACACCCTCTTCTACGAGCGACACACATTAGAGTAATTCCGAACCCACCAAGCTGCCAGCAACGTCGCTGCCTACGATAACAAGGAATGCAGTTTTGCCTCGGCAGCAGATGAGGTAGCTGTAGAAGCGCCCGATCACGACCTCCCACCTGATGAGCACCCCGGACCTAACCCTATGTTCGATGATGACAGCGACGACGGCGACGCTCCGCTCCGACACCAGCGAGGCGCTAAGGGGCCAGCGGGGCGCTAAGGGGCTAGGGCGGAAGCGGATGGGCGAACCTAACCTAATCCAATATCATTCTAGCATAGAACGAATTGGTTAGAATGAGGTGGTACAAGGGGATATAACCGAAGAGTCTGTACTCTATATGAGTATGCACCTAACACATACGATTTATATGTTGACAGTTTCTCCCTTACCGTCCAAAACAGGCATACTCGAAGCGTAGGCCTGACTCGTCAAGCTTAGAAAATTTTAGGCCTGATAAAATATGTCACAGCCAGACCTCGACCCTGAAAAGTATGGGTAGTCACAAGGGGGACCTTGAGTCATCAGCCCTCCCTAAACCAATATGAGGGCCTGTTGCTACTATTATTGCGAACCTTGAAAAACTGTAGGTGGTCCTCGCTATGTGATCCATTAAACACCCTAGATCATTCAAGGGTTTTGACCAATCATTTGTGAAGCACATGCTCAATGCTAATACAGCTTTCTCAATATCGAAGCCAAAGGAGATAAAATCATGCAATTTGTGTATGATGCTCGTAATATAATAGAAAAACATCCTAGGTTCGAGTACATGGAGGCACATAGTTTTAGTCACACACCACATGCCTTCGTGGTTCACATTTGATGTAGGGAATGAATTGGAATTAAACCCAAGTACACATCCTCTCACTTCTTATCAAAGTGTAAGAGTCCTTTTTAGCTTAAGATGATTCAGAAGTAAAGTGTACTGTTCAGCGTACACCTTTAGTATAGTGAAATATCTATTCATTAGACGCCAAGTGTTTCTCTACAGGCATATTGGTTCGAGCACACGGTTAACGGCCCAGCCTACAGAGGCTCAATGATCCATCAGTTACCACATCTGATACAGAGATCTCCAAACGTGCAGACGGGACATTCTGAGGCCTCACACTGTTTCCCGAGGAACGCAAAAGAAACAACAATGGTCGCCCGCTTGAGAATGGAATATGCCATTTGGTAACCAGGCTACCCTACATTTCGCCTGTGAAAGTTTTGCGCTTCATTCAGAAGTACCCGCTCGAAAACAGAGTGGTCTTGGAAAGGTTTTCATGTGTATCACACGTCACTTCTCAACAGTAGAGGAGCATTTATGACGATCTCGAGGACAATTCTTCTTCTGGATGAATTACTGTACCGCTGTTGCAGCGTCAGTTGAGAGCTGTTTTGTCAGACGCCTTTGACTGACGCATCCTTACACCAGAATTACTCGTCGTTGTACAAATTTCAAAAGGGGTTCACTTTTGGACATGTTGAACAAGATTCCTCCGCGAATTGTGTCACGTTTGTATCATTTCTGTTGACACGCTACTGAAATGCGGGGCAGCCACACGTTTGAAACTCCAAAAGAGCACACCGGGCCTGGGGCGGGAGTCATTGCGCGGCAGTCAACCAAGATTCGGAATCGTGCTAGACGTTCTATTCGGTTCGGTTCGGTTTAAGGGCCAGGGCTCCAGGTCAGAGCAAATTTTCCTAACTGCAACTTCCCTGGAGTTCTTCCGAACTTCTGACCAAACAGAAGTCTAAGTTCTTCGCATGGTTCACCCTTTAAACCTGGGTGCACGAACACGGCGTCCAGCGATAGAAATTCACAGTGCTGTACGAGTCGAACCAGCGTTTGTGGAGTGTGACTGCTCGCAGAATATAGTTTCGCGAGCGCCTTTCAGTCCTGTGGCAAATATTTCACGAAACGCTTCAGCGCGTGCGAGAACTATTTCGTGAAATATGCTCGGTACACGTGAACCGAGCATGAAGTTCCCCTCCCTCACTCTCAAGAGCTCGAAAAGTTGCTCCAAGTGTTTACTAAGAATGGGGTCCGTGCCGTGAGACTGGGAAACTTGACAGTGAAGGGTTGCACAGTTCCACCCACTCCACACCATACCCGCTCAGGTGTGCTTCACTTTGTTCCCCCCCTGCTCTGGTTCACTTTGTTCCCTACCCTCCTTGGTCAGTACACTTAGCCTGCGGTATTTTCACATCCAGTATTTTCACAGGGGGTGCCGCCGAGAGGGTATTCACCCACCGAAAGCAGCTCCTGAAGACCAGATCCGGATACCCTTGAAAAACAATTTGAACTTGGGTTTCTATACGAAACGTTTGCTGTTCGATTTAGTGTTTCTTGAGTCAGGAAACCCGACGTCAGCTTAGCCAGTGCGCAAAGTTTTTGCCCGCGTGGAGTCTGCCAAGCTTAGGCCGTAGGAACAAGGGGGTACTGTCTACGCACTCAGAAATGGTCAGGGTGGAAAAAAAATCTTTTGCCGCCCTGTTTCAGGGTGTTTAATTACCGCGGGCTAGGTGAACTGGCGGTATGTGGAAACTCGGGGTTGGGGGGGCGAGGTGGCTGCCAGACAGTCAGATGAACAAGGCGGAGCAGAAGGAGGGAAACGGGATACTGGGGTGCAGGAACTACAACTTCTCCCTTCAATGGCTTCTGGAAGCACGTCCAAGCCAAGAGGTCTGAGGACTTCGCTGCCAGACTTGTTTGTACCTACAATACTGAACAAAGTCGCACAGCCGTAGGTCGCAGGCTCCGTGGACAGTTGCAAGGCAGTTATTTTCTGGAATGCACTTTGTTGGTTTTAGGACTAATTACAAGTCACGGTGTGTACAGCATCTAGGTTTCATCCGCCCCTGCCTAAGTAGTGAAAAACTGCAGCACATGAGAGTTCGCACAAAATACTTTTAAAAAATAAATTCCTGGTCTGCTCCTCCCAACCACATACCAGTACTTACGATTCCGTTTCAACATCCAAGCAACTCCACTCGTCAGATGTAAGGACCGAGGTTAGGCATTGGAGGATGTTACAGTACTGTACAGTAGGAGCGACCGAACCCTAAGCAGATCCCTCGTTCTCCCCGCGAATCTCAGTTTTTCTCAAACGGACCAGTTGCTTCGCTGGCCAGTCCGTATCGTTTTTCGGGGGTTCAAACAAAAATTTCAGTCACCAGATCGTTTCCGCGAACGAGCATTCCGAAAACGAATGTTCCTCAGACGGTTCCGCCGTGGAGGCAGCGCGGATACAGCCGCTACTACCGCTAGCAGCTGTTCAGAAAACCGCGGCCCCGCATCATGGCGAACTGTCGCGGAAGCGCGGTGAGAGACGACTCGGTCATTACGGAGGCGAACGAGAAAGACGAGGAGCAGCGAAGGCTGATTGTCATGGAGGCGGCGAGTCAGCGAGTGGCGAACGATGCTATGGCGGCACCGGGGGGAGCGTTGAGTCAGCGAGGGGCGAACGACGGTATGGCGGCAACTGGGGTAGCGTTGAGCCAGCGAGGCGGTGAGGGGGAGAATTTCTCGGATAAGCTGATGCATTTCGACCTAGATTCCTCCGAGGCGTCTTTTCCCACGGGCGACTCCACAGGCGAAACGGGTAACGACGACTTGGCGATAGATATCGCCGACGTGTCCTGCTGTTGCTTCCCCAGATTTAGTAGTCGGTCCAGTACGCGAACCAGCCGCGACGCCGGTTCCGCCTCCTCTTCCGCCGCCGCCGGCGCAGCCAGCGCAGACGCCGGCGCAGCCACAGGGTGCTTCCCAGGCGCAAGGGGAAGG